AACCATTCTCCAAACAAGAGTATCCTGGAGACTTTTGAAAACCACTTGGTCTGGATTTGCTGAAACAATGGCGGTATCGTCTGCGGACTTTAGATGAGTTTCTGCTTCTCGCCAGCTTCAGTAATGGACAGTTTAAAGCATACAAGCAGACAGCTTAGAATGACTGGAAGTACCAAATTACTGACCTACTCACCTGACTTCAAAGGTGTACATTAAGCCAAAAGTGTGCATTACCGGAGGAATACCAAACTGCCGCTTCTTTGTATCTCCTCCTTATTACCGGCATACTTGAAGAAAAAAACCTTGTAGTTTTCTTTCAAACTGTAAGATTTCTAGTAGTTGGACGGGTAGTATTGGTCTGCCTACTTTTACTGTTTTGGGTCTTTTTCCTAGCTTCCGTAGTGGGTAGTCCAAAGCAGATAAAGCCTAGACAGAATGATTGGAAACGACTAAACTACAGGTTTACCACCCCATCTCAATCTTAGTAATTTTTTTTTTATTGTGAGATTTCCCATTGAGAAATTTCTAGGGTGATGTAGTTTGGCCGGTTTCGACCATTGTAGTCTGATTATCCTTGATGTCTCGGGTATTTCAGGCGCGTTTCAGCTTCTCGCCATCTTCAATAGTGGGTAGTCCAAATTGAAAATGGAGAAATGACGAAATGCATCTGACATCCCAAACCAGTGATGGGCAGATATAATGTTCGTTAGTTTAAGCACTGATATTTTAAAAAAATAAGTTTTTAAATTGTTCTTTTTTGACGTCGTTTATTTATTTTTAATCTATTTGTAATTGTGAAATTTCTCCTTGTTGTCTACGGAGTGATGGACGTCAAATTATCGATTGTTTTGGTCTATACTCGTTGGGTTGGTCAGTCAGAAATATTTCGGCGTTTCGTCATCCTCAGTGTCTTTAGAGGACCAAAATGATCGTTAACGACCAAATTTCACATGTAAAAGTTTGAGATGTATTTACCAGAAAAAATTTTCTTATCAGAACGTTTTTCAATTTTGTCTAGTAGTTCTAATCCTTTTTTTTGGATTTCCATGCTGACCAAAAAGAAAGAGAATATCAATCTAGATCACCCTCGGGGTGTGATCTCACGGTGAACGCGTAAAATAAAACAACTCCGATCCAAGAACCAAGAAGGTGGTTGATGGAATCTGGTTGAGGTGTTGATATTGGTTCGGACTAGATTATAGGGCTCCTTAAACACGTAGGCCACTAAACCGTATCAAATGATCATTAATTTCTTTCAAGTAGCTTTAACGTTTTAACGTAGAAAGTTAATTGATTTTCACCGTTAATACTTTCTGACTCATTTGGGTCAACGGCTTATCAATTTTTGTCTGGCGTGTTGAAAGTTCAATTCTCAAAAGCGATCATGTTGATCATTGTGACTTTTTCAATTTGAACTCTTGGATTGACAAACGCGGAAATTCCATTGCTTGAATAAATGGACGGCGCCTTGCATCTAAATTCCTCTCGTATCCCATCTCGATAATCGACACCTCCGTAACCGTCTTGCGGTTTTACTTCCAATCACGGAAAATGACTATAATCAAATTTATTAGCCGATAATCTTCAAAGCCGCTTTCTCGACGGGGTTAATTAAAGTTTGAAAACTAGTCATGAGCTTCCCCCCCTGGAAAAGTTTTTTAACTTTGAATCGAAAATTAAAAAATGCAAACTGTCGTAACAGCATGAGTCTGTGAACTTGGGGTAAAACTCGGTGTTACATCTTACACCGTGTGTTGCCCAGAACTAACAACGCGAGAACGACAGGTTTTCAACATGTAAAATCATTTCTATTCATGATCGATAAAATCCGACGTCGATCTTTTATAATATTCATGATCAACGGTTTTTTTACACCGTGATAAACGAAAGAAGAGTCTATTCTTCCATTTGAACCGTATAGAAAAGTTTTATGGGCCATTTTTACCTGTGAGTTAAACTAGCCAGAGCAGGGTGTCGGAAAAAATTATATCAACCGAAATTTATAACAGCGTATAAAACTAACTAAATCATGCACTTCCATATCGACATAAAACGATGAAATTTTCATGAATGTCGTCATATAACACAGAAGAAGAGTAGCTGCTACTGACATTTACTACAGCAGCTTTCGTTTCCATTATGCTATTACCTTAAGGAAACAACGACTGAAAAAATGAAGTTTCAGTTTGAACTTAGTAGAATGTCTTAATACAACAACTGGTTGGATGTGAGGAGGTAGATGTACAAATATGTTGGGAAAGGTTTGCTCTTTAATAGCTACATCCCTTATTTGATAGAAATAATACACCAGTTGGTCCTAATTTATCAAGGAATCAGTTGATTTTACTTTTAGGTTATCAGGAACAACCCAAAAAACCTCGGGATAAAAACTGCAAAAAATGTATGTTGCACCAGTACTAGGTCACATACTGGATCCTCTTCCTCATTGAAGATGGCATAAAGTTGTAAGTGAAGACAGGACTTTGTAGATTGCCTGAGTATGACAATTGCTAGGATGTGACGAAGTGGATGTAGATATATGTTGAGAAGGGTTGCTACACTGCGCCTTTTAATAGCTACATCCCTTGTTTGATACAAATAATATACCAGTAAGTCCTAATTTATCATGGAATCAGTTGATTTTCCTTTTAGATTCTCTGGAACAACCAAAAAACCTCGGTATAAAAACTGGTATGTTGAACCAGTATTAGGTCAAATGTATGTTGAACCAGTACTAGGTCACATACTGGATCTGTCTTCCTCATTGATGATGGCATGAAGCTGTAAGTGAAGACAGGACTTTGTAGATTGCCTGAGTATGATAATTGGTTGGATGTGACAAAGTGGATGTAGATGTATGTTGAGAAGGGTTGCTACACTGCGCCTTTTAATAGCTACATCCCTTGTTTGATACAAATAATACACCAGTTGGTCCTAATTTATCATGGAATCAGTTGATTTTCTTTTTAGATTCTCTGGAACAACCAAAAAACCTCAGTATAAAAACTGGTATGTTGAACCAGTATTAGGTCAAATGTATGTTGAACCAGTACTAGGTCACATACTGGATCCTCTTCCTAATTGAAGATGGCATAAAGTTGTAAGTGAAGACAGGACTTTGTAGATTGCCTGAGTATGACAATTGCTAGGATGTGACGAAGTGGATGTAGATATATGTTGAGAAGGGTTGCTACACTTCGCTCTTTAATAGCTACATTCCTTTTTCGAAATGAATAATACACCTGTAGTAGTGTATGGGTGACAATTAGTTGTAGTTAAATTTAAAGTTGTAGAAAAAGTGTATAGACTGGGAGGGAAGAATAGACTGACGGATCCCATACAATTCCCATTCCCAAAGTCAAACCACCTTACGGAGGCCCACAAAATAGAATTTGCTAGGCGGAAGGACGTGACAGCTGACGCCTTGGGACTGTTAACCTCCCTGAGATGTATTACCTCATAGCAAAAGTAAAAGGATGGTAGTGTCCTCGGCCCTGATGACTGGTGTGGCAGAGGGAGCGGTGGTGAAACTGCTATTTGGCCTGCTGGAGGAAGAACAACAAGATATTGGAGTGTCAACAAGGGGAGGTCCTTCATCTTGTCCAAGGACATCTTACAGTTACCCGTGCTATTGACATGCAAGCACAGCAATTGACAAAATAGGTGAATCGCTTGACTAGTGAGGTTAAGACTCAATTGAACAAATTAGTAGGGCTAAAGGCCTTGATTAAAAAGAATCGGAGTAGGTTAGAATTAATGGAAAAAATTAGTAGTATACTTAGGAAATTAGAAGCAGAGAGACCATTTATTTTTTCTTGATATAGTCGGGTTAGGTAGACTAAGCAGGAACCTAATACCTCCAAATACGGTATGTAAGCTGCTCAGCCTAGTACGGCATCTCTCCCTGGTACATGCCACAGAATATGCATGCATATTATGACCTGATTACCATGAGTGCTTACGCGAGGCAGAACACCATCAGAATAATTTTAACAGTGCCCTTAAGAAGTATCTATCCAAAATTTAAAATGTTCAGTGTTCATGAGTGTCCTTCCACAAACTTGAATGTGCAATCCTACATTGTGAAAAATGAGGATGTTTCATTAGTAAGTGAAAATTTGCAGTATTCGGCAGAGCTACCGAGTACCGTGAGAGACACCTGCCAAGGGAAAGGTATCCTAGCATGCCCAGCAGTGATACCACTGGCGACCCGACGGTCGGCCTATATTCTGAACGACTTGGGAGTGGAAGATATTAACTGGAACTCCGCAGGTCTTGTGGGTATATAGCGAAATGGAACACTCATGGCGGTACAATCTACCGGTGGGGCAGGAATTGATGATGGTATGCAGGAATGCGTCAGCTGTCGAAAGCCAGGTACTGGGCAGCTGCGGGATGTCAAAGGTTGTGAACTTTCTATGAACCAGTACCTAATACTACCCACCACGAAAGGTCAGACGACAGCGACCCGGATCAAACGCCCTGTCCTTGAGACCGGCATCGTCCACCTGTCACTCCTAATTTATTAAGGAATCAGTTGATTTATTTTATTGTTGTATTCTCTGGAATAAACAAAAAACCTACTGGATAAAAACCAGTGCAAAAAATGTATGTTGAACTAGTACTGTATCACTAATCGATCCTTCTTACTCATTGATGATAGTGCAAAGCCATGAGTGATGGCAGAACTTTTTACATTTCTTAAAAAACCTACTGGATAAAAAATGTATGTTGAACCGGCACTGGGTCTGCCTTCACTCATGGCTTTGGATGTTTCCCAAATGTGTTTCGACTTTGTGCCATTTTCGGGAGTGGCCCTGTGTTCCACTCGCAGAACAACATCCAAAATCACAAAAACTGTAAGAGTGACCTATTTACAGGAGTCATATACGATAATAATCAAATCTGTGTGTTTTGAATTTAAAATAATAAATTTATGTAACAACAAAATGTCTATTTATTACTGGTAACCAACTAATAGTTGAATCTTATGTTTTCAGCTTGCAACTGCAATGGGTATTCACAGAAGTGCTTCTATGACCAGAAGTTGTACGAAGAGACGGGGCACGGAGGACATTGTCTTGACTGCACAGCCAACAGGGATGGACCGCACTGTGAACGCTGTCGGGACAACTATTACCTCGATGAAGACACTAAAGAATGCCTGCCTTGCGACTGTAACGAAATCGGTATGTACAATTTGAATTGAAAACCTCGACAAACTGGTAAATATTCTTTCTATTTAGGTTCGATGAATCTCCAATGTAACTCGAACGGGAAATGCATCTGCAAATTTGGCGTGGATGGAGAAAAGTGCGAAAAGTGCGGCCAAGATTTCTACGACTTCAGCATCACCGGTTGCAAAGCGTGTAACTGTTCACAATTGGGAAGTCTGAACACTGAAACCAGCTGCGACAAAGACGACGGAAGGTGCAGCTGCAAGGAAAATGTCGAAGGAAAAGAATGTCAAAAGTGAGCTCTTCAATTGATATTCTATTTTTATCTAATTAAATTCTTAATATTACACTACAATATAGTATAAATGTTGAATGCAAAAAAAATATTCTAACAATAAATCATTTTATACACTGAAATGGTAAAAACATGATTTGTAAATTTTTCTTTCACATTTCTAGGTGTAAACCTGGTTATTTTAACCTGGACGAATTTAATGAATTTGGTTGCACCCCTTGCTTCTGCTATGGTCATTCTACATCTTGTGACTCAGCCATTGGGTATTCCAGAGGTACACCCTATACAGTTTTTATTTATAAGTGTTCATAATCATTGTATGCATTAATTTTTCTTTTTAGTTTGGCTTGAATCTATGTTTGCTCGAAATAATGAGAAGTGGTCAGCTGTTGATGACACTTCAGCATCGCAACCATTGCATTATAATCCCAGATCCCAAGACATATCAGTTGTTTCAAAAGGAAGAGAATCTGTTTACTTTCTCGCACCGAGTATATTTTATTTGTTTAATTAATTTTTTTTTAATTTAACACCAGTTACACAAACCTTAATGTTACAGAAAAATACCTTGGAGATCAAAGAGCATCGTACAATCAGGATTTACAGTTCAAATTGTGGGTCGGAGAAAAAGGGGCTGCACCTTCTGTCAGTGATATCATATTGGAGAGTAATGGGAGGCAAATATCGCAGACAATTTTCGGCCAAGGCAACACTTCTCCGAGCACAACTGTAATTCATCATTTCAAATTCTGTTAGAACATAATTAGACATTTTTATACAATTTTATCATTTTTGCAGCCTACTTTTTACAAATTTAGATTACATGAACATGGCGATCATGGATGGCAACCAAAATTGTCTTCTATCGAATTTATAAGCATCTTGTCAAATCTGACAGCTATCAAAATCAGAGGAACTTACACCACTAAAGGTAATAAAAATTACTGTGGTTTTTTGTTGCAAATTGCAGTTTTAATTTTTTTTTCTTTCTTGTAGGATCTGGTTATCTTGACCAACTTAAACTTGGCTCAGCAGCTCGACAGGCTGCTGGACAAGCGGCTCTATGGATTGAACGATGCTCTTGTCCGACTGGATTCATCGGTCAGTTTTGTGAATCGTGTTCTGCAGGCTACAAGCACGAACCACCAAATGGCGGACCATTTGCCCAATGTGTGCCTTGTACTTGCAACGGCCATGCTGAAACATGTGATCCAGACACAGGTATTTTAATCAACTACTTAATTATTTAAATATTTGAGCGTTTTTTTATGTGCAACATTTTGCATAGGTCGTTGTATTTGTGAGAATAACACAGCTGGTGATAACTGTGAAAGGTGTGCTCAAGGCTTTTATGGCAATGCTCTGGCCGGCACTCCAAATGACTGTAAACCCTGTCCCTGCATTAATAACGGGCCGTGCTCCTTGCTTCCCGATTCATCGGTTGTTTGTTCAGACTGTCCGGACGGCTATGCAGGTACTTAGTGCATCTTGCCATATTATGTGACTTGTTACTAAATTTTCATCCATTAATCCCTAGGCGCACATTGTGATATATGCGGTGAAGGGTATTTTGGAGTTGCTACCGGTAACAACACAAGGCCCGACTGCCAGCCTTGTGATTGTAACATGAACATCGATCCAAACGCAATAAACAATTGTGACAAGGAAACTGGAGAGTGTCTTAAATGTATTTACAACACAAGAGGTTTTCACTGTGACCAATGTCTTGAAGGTAAATGATTTGTTTAAAATTTTCGATAAAATTTAAACTTTGGTTTTATTTTTTTTAAGGATTTTATGGAGATGCCCTTTCTCCAGAAAAAGGCGATTGTAAACCATGTCTTTGTTATGAGAAAGGGACAGAAGGTGGAGCTAACGGGGCTTACCATTGCAACCAAGTTTCCGGTCAGTGCCAATGCAAACCTAACGTCATTGGGACTAACTGTGACCAGTGCAAACCTGGCTACTACGATCTTGAGAGTGGCGAAGTACTTTTTATTTTATCCTTATTAACTCCACAACTGTATTTTTTTTACATATTTTTGTTTTATGGAAGGGCTGCAAACCATGTAACTGCAACATCACAGGTTCTGTAGGTACAACCTGCGACTTACATTCCGGTCAATGTATTTGCGCTGCAGGTGTTATGGGATTGCAGTGTGATAAATGTGAGACCTATCACTATGGTTTTTTTGACGAGGACATAGACGGATGTTCCACTTGCGATTGTGACCCCATAGGGTCCCTTGATTTGCAGTGTAATGAAACTGGTCACTGCCCTGTAAGAAAAATAAATTTTATCAAATTTATCAATGTATTTACTGACACCGTTGTTTCAGTGCTTGGAAAATTTTGAAGGGGAAAAGTGTGATAGGTGCAAAGAGAACAAACACGATAAGAAAAAGAATTGTATCGATTGTCCCCATTGCTACAATTTGGTCCAGGATGAAGTGAACAAACACAGAGAAAATTTGGCCAAACTTAAAGATGTGATGGAGAACCTCAGGAATACCCCTTTGTACCATGACGTACAGTTCGACGAGCAAATTGTATTAGTTACTCAAATGGTTGATAATTTATGGAAAAATGCCAAATCAGCAGCTGGAGGTAATTTCATAATGGCCTTTTTTTTAAAGAAAAAATCTAGCAATAAAATAATCTAATTTATTTTTATGCGTCTTTTAAAAGATGACAATGAGCTTGAAGCTAAGATTGAGGAACTTAGGAAAAAGTTTAATACGATGAAAGAAACAACTATGAAAATTGTGGATGATTTAAAAGATACAGAATTCCTTGTGGATGAAGCTGATAACAATGCTACTTCCATTAAACAAGCCTCTGAAAAATCTATAATTGATGTGAAGGTAACTATAATAAAAATTTTATATTTATAAATTACTAATTTATATAATGCACATGCACCCATACATGTGTGCAAAGCTAAATCTATCACTTCTCGCAGCTCGCTGTCAATTCCAGTTTTTGTAATTTACAACAAATTACCAGCAGACCTTGAGAATCACCCACTGAGGTTAGGCTCTAGAAGCTATGGTTAGGGTTGGTTAGGTTAGCTTCTAATGTAATCAGTTTCTAAATCCAAACCAACTCACATCCTCACTCACTCTTCTTTCCTATTTACTCAATTCACTCAGTTAGGGTACTGGTGTACTTGATTTTCCTCCATCAGCCCTCTCACACTACACATTCACGCCAATAAATACATTCACTCTCAATACACACTAGGAGCCCAAAACTATCATTTCAACATATAATAAAACAACCCTGTTTCCTCCATGATTCAACAAAGATATTTGCAATTAATTAAGGGTTTTAGTTGAGACAAAAAAGTCAATGGCACGAGCGGGATTCGAACCCACGATCTTCGGCTAGATACGCCGCTGCTCTACCACTTGAGCTATCGTGACCTCGATCCACTCGGACACCAACTTCCTATCTCAACCCCACCTTTTGAGTTTTCCCTCCTTTTTGCCATTTTTCAAATGTCATGTAATCGGATTGGATTCTCGGCGACAAATGAAATGGCCACGGAGAGTTTTAGTGAAGTATACTTCATTTTAATTCATTAAAGTCACTAATTTAGTGGTCCGCTTGACCAATTAATATATTACAATTAATTAATGTTTTTAGTTGAGATAAAAAAGTCAATGGCACGAGCGGGATTCGAAAGGTGGGGTTGAGATAGGAAGTTGGTGTCCGAGTGGATCGAGGTCATGATAGCTCAAGTGGTAGAGCAGCGGCGTATCTAGCCGAAGATTGTGGGTTCGAATCCCGCTCGTGACACTGACGTTTTAATCTCAACTAAAAACCTTAATTAATTGTAATATATTAATTGGTCAAGCGGACCACTAAATTAGTGAATTTAAAGATATTTGCTGCCATGCTCAAGCACAATTCTCATATCAAGAGACATTCCTACACGCTCTCTATATAGAGCCAAGGAATCACACCCTTCAATTAGGTGGAACCTTTTCTCATACGCCAGACACATATAGGCTCAAAAATAAGTGTCTATTTGTCAACCTTACATGGCCTTTCACTAATTGGGTTCCTTCTTCTAAGAGCCAGGTCTTCTGAGGACCACCGGGCCAGTGATCATTATACAAAAGAGCTTCTGTGCCAATCTGGCTCAATTACCACAGAATTTATTTAGATGCTCCCTAAACATATATAACTATTCTAAACTGAGGGTTGATGGGTTACTCAATTTTCCAACCCTTTCAAACTAAACATTCTCGCTAATAAATACATTCATTTCCAACATACCATAAGAAACACAAGATAAAATCTCTATAAAGTATTATATACAGCAAAATAGCATGTTCCCTTCAAAAATCATGTTGATGTGATTTCATTTATGTTTGTACAATTGTTAGATCGATAATGATAACATGAATGATGCTTTTTTACGTGTTTAATTCATTTACGCAAACAAGCTTTAATATTAAATTTGAAACTTTCCCTGTAAGACTAATGGATTATACAAAAAATAAATAACTGTTTATTTTAGAACGCAATGGAGCACCTTACGGTTGATGGTTTATTAGCTCTCAATTTGGCCAGAAATAAATCAAAAGAATCAGGTCAAAAGAATCAACTTATGACTGATATTGCACATCGTGCTAGAACTATAGTCACTGAGTAAGTATCTTTCCTTTTCTTTAAAAAAAAATTTTTTTTTTAAATAAACAATCTTTATTTTAATATCAGGCAGTTGAATGAAGTCAAAGAAACAGAAATGATTGCTAAAAACGCCTTTGATACCTGCGAAGAAGCTATTGGACTTTTGAACCAAGCGAAGGATAAGCAGACAAATGCAACGTAAGTTATGTACGACCCGTTGAAAAGCCTCATAATTAAACTATTAATATTTTTATCAGGAGAGAGCTAGAACAGTTAAGCACAGATATAGAACAGGCAAGAATGGAGATGGACCGAGTAACCAAGTTAGCAAATAACACTTTAGATACTGTTTCCAAAGCCTACCAGGAAGCCCTAAATTTTGCCGTCGAGATCAATAATCTCGTTGAGCCACAAGTAGATGTCGGAGCGATAAGATCTGAAACTGACATGCAACTGAAAAGAGTACTGTTAAAAATATATACGTTTAAAAGAAAAACGCAATCTAATCGACTTTTTCTTGCAGCTTGAAGACCTACAAATATCAATACAGAAAGCTGAAGAACAGTATAAAGAGGAAACAAGCGGAATAGAAGATGAGTTGGTCGACAGCCAGAAAAATCTAGAGAGAGCGATGGCTTTGCAGAAGGAAGCAGACCTTCTCATGGCTAGGGCCGATGCTGCAAAGAAGAAAGCCGAGGAGGCAGTAGCTCTGGGTGATAATACGCTGAAAGAAGCTCAGGAAGTGTTAGCATCTATGAAAGGTTAACACATTTTTTTTTGCTTACTTTGCATAAAAGTTGTATAAACATGTCCGATTTTAGATTTTGACAAGAAAAGCCAAATTAGCAAAGAAAAGGCGAATAAAGAACTAGAGCGAATACCGGAGATTGAAACATTGCTTTTTGAGGCTACTTCCACGACTATTAACGCACAGGAAGCTCTTCAAGGTGCACTTGTAAATGCCAAAAATTCAGCTACTATGGCAAAGAAAGTAGAAGAGGAAATGTCCGACAAAGTATCAAACGTATGAAAAAATTAAATTCATTTTGTTTTTAAAAAAATTAATTTATTTGAGAAAAAAATATTTATTTGGCAGGATTTGAAAACTCTCAAAGAAAGTGTTAACAAAGGGACTGAAGATGCGGAAAAGATGGTAGGAATTGTGAAAGCTGTCGACCAGAGGGTAGGACAACTTGAAGAAAAAATTGAAAAAATGAAATCCGCTAATGACGAAAACATTAAATTTACCGAAATGGTAAGATAACATTTCGACATTTTGTTATTTGTTCATGTTTTGTCTCTTGTAACGCTTATCTGTTCTAATCAGGCGGTAGATAAAGTAGGAAAAGCTAAAAACAATACCGACGAAGCAGAAAGACAAGTAGTAGAAGCTTTAAAAAAATTGGAACTTATAGAAAAAGAATTGAGTGACTTAACCGATATAGGTATCGTACAAAATATATTATTTCAAATAATAAATGTAATAATAATTTTTTTTTTAAGATGAAGACACATTGAATCAACTTGAAATCAGGTTCAAGCAAGTGCAAGACGATTTTGATAATTCTATTATAAATGAAAAGCTGTTAACACTGACTAAAGATAAAGCAAAACAGGTAAATTGATTTATTTCCAATCTAATTCACTATTTTCATAAAAATATATGTTTTTAGCAAGCTCTCTTGAAGCAGCATGAAGAAAGTTACAATAAACTAGAGGCAGAGGTGGACAACATCAGACGTATAGCGTTAGCTATCCCTGACAGCTGTTTCAACAAGGAGACGAACCTCGAGCCTTAAAAATGATGATGTTCCCTCATTAATATACCAAAGATTGTGTCTAGATGTGTAAAGAACTTTGGATTTTGTGCCATTTTTATGTTTTCATTTTCCTTTTATTTTATTTTTATTTTGTGCGTGTGTGTTAAGACTTAGATTGAGCAGGTGTATAGCATTTTAAAATAGTCAAGACTCGCCGAGCCTTACTCTATTTCTGACCTCTCCCCCTTTTCTAAAAGATCTTTCTGAAATGTGTTCATTCTTTTTTAAGTCATAGTCTTTTGTATTATAAGTCAAATGATAATCAAATGTAAATCACTATTGTAGACTATAGTTTTGTAAGTACAATGGTAAAAAAATTAATTAAACTTTTACATTTGTTTATTTTGTTTTAGCTTTGTACCTTCTACTGCTGAAATAAGTGTCTTCTTTTTGTCTTGTGCCCAGTTGACTGGAAAGTAATGTCGTTTTATATTAAATTCAAACATATAAATTGTCTTTTGAACATCATCAAGATCTAGAGGTGGCATTTTGGACATCATCCAAATTTTCAAATTTTTTACCGCTTAAAAAATGTTGCTGCGAGGTTTGCATTATCCTGTTGCAAAATAACGCTTTTAATTTTGACTATCGCTGGGCACTTTTTAATTGATGATTGATGTGCTCGATCAAATTGTTCGCAGTAAAGGTCTGCATTCATAGTTTGTCCGGGTTTCACCACTTCAAAATGAATGACCCCATGAATATTCCACCAAACACACAAAAGCGCCTTTTTGGGGTGTTAACCTAGTTTAGCCATACTTCGAGGTGATTCATTCATAGAGAGCCACTGACTTTTGCAATTTGAATTATCAAGGAGCCATATTTCATCGCCAATGATCAAGCGATCAAAACATGCTACTGTATTTTACTGCTGAAGCATAAATTTGGTCTGCTTACTTTACCAATCTGCTGCAAATGTTTTTGGATGGTCGACCAATGTTGATTAAGTGTGTTTGTCGGTTCCTCAATTATCTGACAGATTCATTTCCACTTCCGCCTAAAACATGTCATCGTATAAAGTTGTTGATCTTCCTGATCGATAAGAGTCAAAAATATCAAAATAACCGGATTTGAACTTAGAAAACCAACTTTGGAACTTGGATAAACATCGCAAATGTTTTTGGTAGCAACTGTTCTGTTTCTACCCTTGTCGAACTCAAAAAGCATACAACACCCGATATGTACCTCTTCTGGTATTTGGCTGACCATTTCACCATAAATTGCAAAAAATTAAAATTTAATTATTTACAAGTTAACAAGCCATTCTGACCTTAAAATATCTTTGGCACGACTATGAAGTACTCAACGAGCTGATAAATAAAAAAACAAATATTGACACGGTAGAAACGACATTACTTTCCAAACCCCCAATATTAACAAGTTGAAGGTTGTATTGGTCCGCATCTCCTCCCCTCTTGGTAATAACACCTCCGTTTTTCAGGCAGAAATCTGGGCCATAAATGTGTGTTGTAGAACACTTATGGTAAATAAAATTAAGGGAAAAAATATTAGAATTTTTTTCTGACAGTCAGGCTAGTCTCTTAGGTCAAAAAGATTTGTCAACCTCACGACTGGTGAAGGAAACTGTAGATCTTATCAATAGGATCTCTTTCAGGTTTGAGAACAGGTAACCCTTATTTGGGTGCCAGCACATAAAGGACACCATGAAAAGGCGGATGGCCTAGCCAAAGAAGGTTCTAATACTGCGTTTGTCGGGCCACAACCGGTATTCCCTCACTCTATGAGCACAGCGAAAGAGAGTATTAATAACTGGGGCATGAAATAATTCCTTACAGAGTAGATCAAGCCAGCAGAATCGAAATGGCTATTCTCTATCTCAAGGAAGGGAATTAGGTGATAGGTATCCTGACGGACTGAGAAGACACCTCACTTACCAGATCCCTTTTGCCGTTTTTGCAAAATAAAAGAAGAAACGGCAAGGCACTATCTTGCAGAGTGTGATAGGTATGCTAGGTCTAGATTTGAAGTCTTTGAAGGAGAGGACATCACCAAATCACTCCCTGAGATTAAATGGTCCAAAATATTGGGGTTTGTGAACACGTCCAAGAGGTTTATGCAGGACACGTGAGCCAACCAAGTCCTGGACCTTTTAGGGATGGGGTACGAGTCTACACAGGCATTTAACCCCTCGGGTCTTGGTCGCCCACCCTGCATAATATATATAAGGTTTTTAGTTGAGATAAAAAAGTCAATGGCACGAGCGGGATTCGAACCCACGATCTTCGGCTTGATACGCCGCTGCTCTACCACTTGAGCTATCGTGACCTCGATCCACTCGGACACCAACTGTACACAACATTTGAAAAATGGCAAAAAGGAGGGAAAATTCAAAAGGTGGGGTTGAGATGGGAAGTTAGTGTCCAAGTGGATTGAGGTCACAATAGCTCAAGTGGTATCGTGGATTCGAAACCCGCTCATGCCATTGACTTTTTTATCTCAACTAAAACCTTAATTAATTGTAGTTATTAACTTACATTTAAGCTCATGCTGAACTGGCACTAGGTTTCTTATTGATCTGCCTACACTTGCTGGTTTGTCAAACCTGCAAGTGAAGAATGACCCAATAAGTGACCCAGGGTTCAGCATAAATTCACCAACTCACCAGTATTAAATTTGTTTTATTTGTGCATATTTTGTAGCTAAATACTAATTTACAATAAAACCCAAGCACTACATTCCATCAAGAAGAATCGAAAAGGAAAATGGAGCAGGTTGAAGAAACCATAAAACTAGCCTTTAATGAGCTAATATAAAAATCAGGCTTGTCTGTTGTCAAACTGCTGTGAATGAAAAAAAAAAAAAAATGGCAGCGCTGAATATTCATTTGTATAGAGAGACTAGTTAACTTAATTTACCAGTTTTACTAAGTTAAAAAAAGTAAAATAATCCAGAGGTGATAGAAATAGAGAATAAAAATTAGAAAAAAAATAAGAAAACCAAAATAAGTGAAAAACTGATGATGTTTAATTCTAAAGTGAAACTTGTTGTACTTGAAATACATATTACATTTCTCACCATGTGTATAAAAACATGATCAACCTTTAAACTGCATAAATTGTTTAATGTCAAAACATAAGTTGTTTTAAGCCCATGCTGAATTGGCACTAGGTTACTTATTGATCTGCCTACAAGATACCGGTTTGTCAAATCTGCAAGTGAAGAATGACCCAATAAGTGACCCAGTGTTGGTTCAGCATAAGTTCACCAACTCACTTATTAAATTAATTTTATTTGTGCATATTTTATAGCTAAATACTAATTTACAATAAAATCCAAGCACACTAGTCAATGCTAAGCCAATCTCCAATTTGATTAACAATATTAACCCGAGCTTTAGTCAATTGAGGAGGATCCTTTGGTGATGGTGGGTACATGTTAGCACAGTGAGCAGTACCTAAAATATCAAAGTTATTTTGTAATGTCTTTAACAAAATCAAAATGTATAATATGAAATCAAATATAAACCATTTATGTAAATCGCTCGTATTTCAGGTTTGTTTGAGGCGGTGATTCCAAGCGCATGCCAAGGATCAATGCTGCCATGAACAAATAAAACTCTCGTTGCTTTTAAATGAACATCACCATACATAATGTTCGTTCTCATTATTCCATCGTTTAAAACCTGTTCGTTAATTCTAAAATACAGTTTAAAATATACTATTATGTACTAATTTATTCTTTCTTATTGACTTACTCTGGACCGAAAACATCTTGGCACTGTTTCGTGAAATATGGCAATGGGATGTTAGAACCAAACAGTTCTTCAGGGCTACTCGAAGTTTGATAGAAACCAAATTCCGTACACGTTTGATACATCCATTGACGAGCTATATTTACAGAAAAATATACAGTTGGATTATTCACTTACTTGCGATACAATTTAAGATTTCACCTGATTGGCTGTGGTCCCAGACTGTATTTTTGAGTTCCTCTATTTGCTGGGAATATGTAAAATTTAAACATTCACTTTTAGAGGTTGTAAGCATCATTTCGCTAATAACTGCATATCTTGAAAATAAACAATTAAAACTCTAATTACTTGAATTAATCACTTGCCCTTTTATATTTACCTATCTAATGGTTCTCCCAGCTCACGGTCGACCATTACGTTGCAAATATCATCAATAGTAATTTTTGACGGGCTTGTTGATGTCCTGTCATTTTCATTGTACTGAACGACAAGAGCAAAATTTCCTGAAAGTGAGCCAGCTAACGAGGACACATCTAAAGCATTGCTCACATTGAGATCAGAGCAAAGTCTAAAATATCAAAATGAAAACAGATTAATAATTTAATGTTGAGGTTTAATAAATAATCATGATTATTATTTTAATTGTTAGTATATCATTACTTAAATTTTTTTGTTAATGTTTCTGCACCGGACGGATCTGTGACTAACTTATCGAATTTTATAACAGCCTGATGGACAGAAGTTACACAATCATCGTTGAATGTAGACAATGAGGCTGATACAACTTCATTGTACTCTAAAAATAAAAATACACGGTTACGAGTTTACTCTTTGAATGCCAAGGATGTACATGTGCGTCCAAGTCGTTTACCGTCTACGTCCATGGGCAAAATTTGAACCTCAGTTTGCTCTAGCTTTGCCAGGTCGGCTATAGATTGTAATCTACGCACTGTGGTCGTGTTTCCTGTACATTATGCTGATTTTGGTTTTCAACTAACATTTTTTTTTTTTTTAATTTTGTGAATATTTTTTTAGGTGCCGTTCTTCAAACAGTTCTTAGTTTATTCTAGTGAAGTTCATTGTAGTTTTAGTTTTAGAAAGCAATTTTATTTTTTAATTTGTGTTGTTTGTGCCTTTTTGGATTTTTTAGTTTAAATTATTTATTGATGTTTATTGTGGGAATAAAGTTAGAACTTCGTTTTATTGAATAAATATTTTTTTCAAAAATGTTCCTTTTTCAACGTGGATCTTGAATGCATTAAATATATAAATTTTATTAATTAATTGCTTAAAACTAATTAATTTCTTTTTTTTGACCTTTTTTTTTAAGAGTACTTTTATCAAAGTTTTCAATTTTATATGTAAAAACAGGGCTTTATTTTTCCATTGAGGTCTCTTTGTGTGTTTTAACTTTTGTTATTGATATTGTTAAAAATGGAACAACTTGGACCATGTATAGTTTTTAAAAAAATAAAATAATAATTGAGCAAAAAAATTAAATAAGGAAGAAGAATTGTTGATGAGAAAAAAGTGGTGTCCAAGTTAGGATGTACATGTACAGCCATGATGATTAAAGTTTCTCTCTCTCTCTCTCTCTCTCTCTCTCTCTCTCTCTCTCTCTCTCTCTCTC